GGGCTGTTGCCACCCAAACCCCCCATCACCCTCTCCCTCCGTCAGCCGCACCCACTACCTGTCAGTCTCTGGTGCTCTGTTCCCACTGCAGGATTTTTGAAGACTGAGGGCCGTTCCCCATGCCCAAAATGCTCCTGTCTAACTCCCAGGTCTAAGTGTCCCTTTCTCAGGGAAACTTCCCTGAGCTTCAGGAATAGACGAAGCCTCCTGTCCCCATTATAGGCTCTCATGGCACCATGGACTGCTTCCCCGTGCCACTTGTCATTGCTGCAGCAATGTGTTGTTTCTCCCCTTCCATGAGGGCAAGACCATTCACCACTGTGATCCAATGAACTGCTTCCATACCCTTCACCTGGCTGGCAGCACTGAGTCCAGAAGGCAGGTGACCTCGTGTGCCTTTCCATAGAACCCTGCTCTTGACCCCACTAGCTCTTCTACTAAAATGTTTCTTCATAGCTTTGGATCACAGACCCATCAGAGAACCTGGTGAGAGCCACAGACTTTCCAAAAAAATAAAGACCCATACTCGTAACATGTTGCGAAAGATTTTAGCAGGACTCATGGAATCCTTGTGGCCCAACTATGAACAAGCTGCACTCGATTTAAGCACTGGGAAGGCAGGGTCTGAGTGCTGTGCCGCCTTATCCCCCTGTAACCAGCAAAGAACCTGGTCCACGGACGAGCAAAATCAGCACTGGCCAACTGGAGCTGAAGGAACGAACCAAGTTCATGAGGCGGCAATGTATTGGGTAAAATTTTGGGCTGCGTGGGCTTGATTTCTGGTGACTAGTTGTGCTGTGACTTGAGAAAGTCACTTCACCTCTCTGTGCCTCAGTTTGAGCAGGAGGAGAATGGGGACACTACATCCTGGGTGACTGTGAAGATTAAATGAGCTAATACCATCAATCACTTACAGAGTAGTCAGGAAACTCAGTAAATCATCAGAGCAGCCCATTTTAAAGAGGAGGAAACTGATGCACTGCCCAAGGTTACTCGGGGAATAAAGGGCAGACCTTGGATTCAAACCCAACAGCTTGGCTGGAGTCCTGCTCTTAGCCACGTACTCTACGAGCAGTGATGCCCTCGGTAAATGTTGGTTAAATCACAATGTGGGCTATTTTCTGATGCTTCATGTTTCTTAAGCATTTTTGAGGCGTGAAATCCACTTCTGTAATATGCACAGTTTTCATACTTAACACGGTCCCCTCAACAACAGCCGTAATATCAGTTAAGTTGTACTTTTATAATATTTACGATCTGCTGACAGTTTCAAATTAACCTCAACGTTTATAAAAAAGGAAAAACGAGGATCTTGGGGAGCGATCGAAAGCCGCACATCCATCATGTGGAGCCCGCGCTTTTCCAGAGAACCTTCCGACCCGCGGCGCCCCGGCGTCCGCCCGGGCCGGGCAGGCGGAGCCGAGCGGCCGCGGGGGGAGTCGGGCTCCGCGGCGTGCGGCCCCCGACCCCGCCTCTCGGCCGGGGACATTCACTCCCAGGGGCGCAGGAAGGGCGCGACTCACCTGCTGGCGGCCGCTCCGTGCCAGGCGCAGTGAGTCCTGGGTCCCTGGCTCCGTCCTTCCGCCCTTCCCCGGCCGAGGCTCCCCGTGGCCCGCCGTCTTCTCAAGGTGTGACAACAGGGTCCACGTTCCCGGGGCCCGGGGCCCACACGGCCCGCGAACTTCCCTCAGCAGCGCGGACCAAGCCTCCTGACCTTTCGCCCGCATCCGATCAGAGCACGGAAGGTCCGCGAGCCCGCAGACACGCCCCCGCAGCCAGACGCAGCCAATCAGGGCGCGGGACACAGGCTACGTAGGCTACGTGAACCTCCCGACGCCGCGGGTCGGGGCGGCGGAGGCGGGCCAGCGTGGGACTCAGCTTTCCAGAGAATAGGGCGTCGTGCCAGCAATTGCTTCAGGGATTTTCACACTCTTTCCTTCCCAGCATTTTAGAAAACTGGAGATTCAGTCGCTTTGTCACTTGGGGAATGTCACTAGCCCGTAAGTAAAAGGTAGAAGTAACTCAGACACCGCTAAATCTTGAAGCCGTAGCCGTTCAGAATTCCCAAAGTGATTCACTAGGTAAAGCTCTAATTTACAATGTAGTTTAAAAAAACCCAGAACTTCTTTGGAACACATCTAGCCTTCCTGCTGCTGCCCCCTCCCCCACCCCCGCCAGCTGTCAGCGACAGTGTCTGATTGGTCTTTAAAAGCCTCCCTCTTTGCCACCTTCACCTAAATACTCGCCTTTTGTGATGAAGCGCTAAGCGGTTTACAGTCTAATTATGACCTGTGATGCCCGACCTCATAAAACAAATCAGTTTTTCCTTAAAGCCAGGCTCAATGCTTGTCCCATTTATTCTCACATTTATCATCCAATCAACTAATATTTATGGCATGCCTGTTAAGTGCCAAGCATGTGAAACAGCAACGAGAAGACAGCGGTGGACAAGACAACAGGGAATCAAGTACATTTCCCTGTCCTGATGGAGTTTACACTCTAGTGCAGGACAGAGACATTGACAACCACTAACATGATTAATCGCAACTAGACTTAAATGTTTCCAAGGACAGGGTGCCCTGACCCTACCTAGTTGTCCTAAGCTTGTGTGTGGAGTTGGAGCCAGGACACTGTGATTTTCCCAGGCTGGAGGTCCCCGCTTCGTGTGTTTCGTAGCACGCTGTGCACAGTTCTAACACAGCCTTAACACACTGCACTGTAATTCTTCCAGACAGCCCTCTCACCTTGTGGAGTGAACTTGTGGATACTGAGAATTTATTTTCCTATGAGCAATGCTTGGAACACGGTAGGGACTCAGGAAATGCTAACGAAATCTTTGAGTCTACCCTAAGCACCCAGTTTGTGCTCAGTAGACTTTGAGAGGGACTGACACTTGCACTTTAATTCTACGGTATAGCAGCAAGAATTGGGGCTCCTTGTCTGAAGATCAACTTTGATCTCCAGGATACTCTAGAGTTAACTGAGTAGCTAAGGTATATGAGGTAGGGAAGTGCTTGTCCAGCAACCCGTCTCTCTCTGAGTTACCCTTCTACAAAAGCCCTAGTATTCATGGATTTACTGCACACTCTTTCTTGAAATACAAGGATTTTGGGTCCAGACTAACCAAAGTGTGTCACCTGCATTTAGGAAGAGAGAATTAGAGTAGGATACAGAATAGAGAAGGAAGTTAAGGAAGGTAAACTCAGCCTTAGGACTGCATGCTGCAACCGCTGGTCCCTAGGGTTATGGCAGCTTGTACCAGGACTCCACATAATTGTGCGAGGAATGACAATACATTTGACCCTGGGCATTGTAGTCAAAACTTGAAACTGATCAACTCAGCTATGCCAACTATATTAAATAAATGCTACCCAAAGATTTTTCCATCCCAAATATTTAAACTGTGCATTTCTAGGACCATACAATCAGAAAAGACACTTGGATGTAGAAATGGGGGAAAGAACCTAGAATTATGCATACTATCTACAAGAAAATTACAATTACATGTTTAACATTGTGGGAAAATGCTGAAGTTATATATAAGAGATGCATTATTTTAAGTGAATGAAAAACATAACAACTTTGTATAGGTTCATTCAAAAGCTTGGTTCTCTCAACTCAATTTTTCCAAGTTGCCCCCATAGTTTTTGGCAGTAAGAGTTCATGAAGTTTTTGCTGAATGAATAAAAAGTCTTAAATCCCTCAACCATTGGCAGGGTTTTTAGAACACTAACCCTTCTAGTTAGGGGGAGTCCCGGTGTTCAAACACAATGTACCTGCTCAGCTGGAGCACACTGACACTGAGAGAGGGGATTCTTCTTAGTCACAATTTAGACGAAACTGAAAAAGCTTTCTGTAAAACCCTAAAAAACAAAACAAAATCCCCCTACATTTAAAAGTAAAATATCAGTGCCTATGCTGAAACTGTTCTTTTATTAAAATATTTATTTGCATTAAAACTGAATCTTTTATTCCCCTAGATAGTGATGGTAAATCCCAGGTCTATGAATTTCTTAATTGTGTACAATAAAATCAGGCCCACAGAGTAGGATATGAAGTACAGGTATCATGAAAAATGATGAAAATATTACTCCTTATTAACAGCAGTGAAAAAAGATAAGGCACATTTTTTTCTTTTCTCAATAACAGAATTTATTGATCACTATTAACTCATTATCCAAGATACTTTAAAAAATACATATTATCTAAAAACACGTTTCTGAATTTTTGACTCAAATTTATCGAGTTACCTTTAAATATAATTATCACACTAAACATCTATCACTACGAAAGATGGGAAAACAAAAAGCCACTGACTATAATTCCAAGTGGCAAGAACTAGCTTACTAGAGGACAGAAAGGGATAACAACAATAATAGTAATAACAATCATGGCAGCTAGCCAGAGGTGCGGCGCACAGCTCTGCAGACTGTGCACTACACAACCCAGGGTGCTGCACAGCGTGGCAGCCCTGCAGCCAACACTGAACACGTATCCTACCACATGCCAGGAACTGTTATGAACATTTCATATGTAGTATGAAACACATACTACTCTCACCCCCATTTTAAAGATGGGGGGAAAAAAGCACAAAAGGTTAATAACTTGCCTAAGATCTCAAAGCTAATGAGTGGCAGAGCCAGGCATTTGACTCCAGAGCCCAGACTCTTACCTGTTATCCCATGCTGACTAACTCATAGTTACAAGCCCAATTACTTGGAAAAAAAAAACAACTTTGTTTTAAATCTTTCTTATAGATAACTTTATATTTAAAAGTATAAAAAGCAATTGGAAAACAGTATTCTTATTTGGAATAATTTTGAAAAATATTATTTTACTAAATATATGGTAGCTTCTCCTTCATTCAGAATGGTGACATGTGGTTTACAGACTCGGTTACTAACTTATAATCACATCTCACATAGCAATGCTCTCCCCTTACCTAAAACAAACAAATTTTAAAAAGAAGAAGAAAAAAACCAACCACCAAGTACACAAGGTTCCATATATGCGTATACTTTAATAACAAGGTCACTGTAGCTGGAAATGAACAAGGAAAAGGAGACAGAGAACTTTACACACGATACTTCCACAAGTTTGGGTCAAAAACAGGCATACATGAAGCTTTAATAACATATATTTTCTGTGTTAACAGAGGCTATAACTACCAATTTTGATTACGCATATTTTCTAAAACATTATTATCAAAGAGTGAAAAGTGAAATACAACAATGATGTCAAGAAATTCTGTCCTAAAATTTTAACAAAGTCTTTTAAGAAAGTCTAAAAACCTCCTATTTTCCCACACTGACTCTCAAAACTTTGATTTTTATATTAGAATATCAGCTTGCCACTTTAACTTTTACCATACATGAAAAATTATCAAAAATATATTGATGGATCTATACTAATTGTGATTGCCTATATTTACATTAAGCAAATTCTTGGTTACCAAGTTCTTTATATACAAATTACCATCTGTCCTACGTGAAATTCATTAAAAAGTTAAAAACTACAGAAATGTCAATAGAAACAATGCATTTCAAAATGTAACTGCTTTCCATCAATGAAGAATATTTTAAAATAATTTAACTGAAAAAGTATTGAATTCCCCCAATTTCAGCGGCAACAGTATTCCTCCTGAATGTTTTCTGTGATTTAAGGGAAAAAAAAAAAAAACTGAGTAAAGCTTGATTGCAAGGAATTAAATGATAAAAATTTGATGAGTGTTTACTGATCTTCAAGAAATTTACAGTCTAATTTGGTTGGCATTAAAAAAACTAAGTCATAACTTTTAAGATGTAAACAGTTTAACAGAAAAAACAAAAGTCTTTACAAACTGGCAAATACACTGTACAAATACTTTTAGTGTAAATTTAAATCACAAAACAGTATCCAACAGAACTGAATACAGGCATGGTTTTTTGACATTTCCAAAAAGGCCCAACATTTTAAAAGACTCCCAAACTGGAAAGAATTTAGATTTTAGAGGTATCACAACAGACAAAAGAAATTTATAAACACTTAAGAGGCAAAGATATGGGGAAGTTTATAAAGGAATCATATTAATGCCACTAAAATTAAAAGGTCACATTAATTGTTTTAGACTCATGGTCTCATAATAAGGAAATGAAAATGTCTTTTTCTGCAAAAAAACTTGCGTACAACACCATAAGCTTTTCACATTTAAAGATCATCGATTCGGAGGCTCAAAACCGAGTGCCCCTTGTCCAAGACACAGGCGTTCTCTCATCTAAGAATTGACTGATTTTGTAACAATCACTGAAAAATTTATGCCTCATACTCTCTTGTTTGAAAATAGAGATTAGCTCCATTTTGGAAATTATCTTATGTTGATTACACACTCCACTAAAGCAAAAAGAAAAAGCTCTAAAATACTTACCTAAGTAGTGCTCTGTCGCTGGACTTTAGGACCGATACCCTGCGTGTCCTCTTCTGGACCGGGGCGTTTCCCACTGCTGAGACCAGGGCCCAGGGAGCTTCTTCCTGCACATGTAAAAAATGTATGTTTAAGACAGAAAAGGTGAAAAGCACAGTACTCTTGAATGCTTCTTTCTTACCTTGCTTTAACAGGTGAGTTTGCTGACTGTCCCCATGAGCATAATGTAAAATCCCACTCCCTTGAGAGCAACCTGTTAGCATTTAAAACACAGTGAAATTACTTAAGACAAATTCCAAGTTGTGTGTATCAAGACCACAAATAGAATTTTTAGCATCTGTATTTAGTATAGTATTTGCATGACTATGCTTGTTAGGACTAAATCTCAATTCTTCATATGAACCCAAAATCACATGCCCAAATAAAACGGAAATTTAGGCTCATAGAAATGCTGACTGCTCAATGGCAAAATCATTGATAATCATTTTCTGAAAAACATTTTTTCTCATGTTTCTTTAGTCTTCTTTAATCTGGAACATTTCCACAGGTTTTCTTTGTCTTTTATTATTTGACAGTTTTAAAAATATACAGTTTTTAAATGGGACTTTCCTTATTTTGGATTGGTCTGATGTTTCTTCATGCTTAGATGCATGTTATGGATTCTCAACCAGAATACTGCATAGGGATGTTGTGTCCTTCTCAGGACATTACATCTGGAGACACATGATGTCTATCTGCCCATCACTGGTGACCATCTTTTTTTAATTGAGGTCACATTGGTTTATAACATTATACACATTTCAGGTGTACAGCATTACATTTCCACTTCTGTATAGCCTATATCATGTTCACCACCCAAAGTCTAGATGCCATTCACGGTCATACACATGTGTCCCTTTACCCCTTTAGCCCTCCCCCGCCCCTTTCCCCCAAGGTAACCGCCAATCTGTTCTCCGTATCCATGTGTTTGTTTGTTTATCTTCCACATTGAAGTGAAATCATAGGGCATTTCTCTTTCTCTGACTTTTTTTTTTTTTGGTTTTATGTATTCTATTTATTTTATGTATGGGTAACCTTCACCAGGCAGTTAAATAATCTCCAAACTTCAAATCCCCAAACTTCATTTATTGTGATTATTATACATTTTTTTTTCCTAGTGCCTTTTTTTTTTTTTTATTAATGTTATGATAGATTACAACCTTGTGAGATTTCAGTTGTACATTTTTGTTAGTCATGTTGTGGGTACACCACCTCCCCCTCTGTGCCCTCCCCCCACCCCCCCTTTTCCCTGGTAACCACCGATCAGATCTCCTTATCAATATACTAACTTCCACCTATGAGTGGAGTCATATAGAGTTTGTCTTTCTCTGACTGGCTTATTTCGCTTAACATAATACCCTCGAGGTCCATCCACATTGTTGTGAATGGGCCAATTTTGTCTTTTTTTATGGCTGAGTAGTATTCCATTGTGTATATATACCACATCTTCTTTATCCAATCATCAGTATCTGGGCATGTAGGCTGGTTCCACGTCTTGACTCTTGTAAATAATGCTGCGATGAACATAGGGGTGCAATGGACTCTTGAGATTTCTGATATCAGGTTCTTAGGATAGATACCCAGTAATGGGATGGCTGGGTCATAGGGTATTTCTATTTTTAACTTTTTGAGAAATCTCCATACTGTTTTCCATAGTGGCTGTACCAGTTTGCATTCCCACCAACAGTGTATGAGGGTTCCTTTTTCTCCACATCCTCTCCAACATTTGTCACTCTTGGTTTTGGATGTTTTTGCCAATCTAACAGGTGTAAGGTGATATCTTAGTGTAGTTTTGATTTGCATTTCCCTGATGATTAGCGATGATGAACATTTTTTCATGTGTCTATTGGCCATATTCATATCTTCTTTTGAGAAATGTCTGTTCATGTCCTCTGCCCATTTTTTGATCGGGTTGTTTGTTTTTTTGTTGCTAATCAGTGTGAGTTCTTTGTATATTATGGAGATTAACCCTTTGTCAGATAAGTGGCTTGTAAATATTTTTTCCCAATTAGTGAGCTGTTTTTTTGTTTCAATCCTGTTTTCCCTTGCCTTGAAGAAGCTCTTTAGTCTGATGAAGTCCCATTTGTTTATTCTTTCTATTGTTTCCCTCAACTGAGGAGTTACAGTGTCCGAAAAGATTCTTTTGAAACTGATGTCAAAGAGTGTACTGCCTATATTCTCTTCCAAAAGACTTATTGTCTCAGGCCTAATCTTTAGGTCTTTGATCCATTTTGAGTTTATTTTGGTGTGTGGTGAAAAAGAATGGTCAATTTTCAATCTTTTGCATGTGGCTGTCCAGTTTTCCCAGCACCATTTGTTGAAGAGACTTTCTTTTCTCCATCGTAGGCCCTCTGCTCCTTTGTCGAAGATTAGCTGTCCATAGATGTGTGGTTTTATCTCTGGGCTTTCAATTCTGTTCCATTGATCTGTGGACCTGTTTTTGTACCAGTACCATGCTGTTTTGATCACTGTAGCTTTGTAGTATGTTTTGAAATCGGGGATTGTGATTCCGCTGGCTTTGTTTTTGCTCAGGATTGCTTTAGCAATTCGCGGTCTTTTGTTGCCCCATATGAATTTTAGGATTGTTTGTTCAATTTCTGTGAAGAATGTTCTTGGGATTCTGATTGGGATAGCATTGAATCTGTATATTGCTTTAGGTAGTATGGACATTTTAACTATGTTTATTCTTCCAATCCATGTGCAAGGAATGTCTTTCCATCTCTTTATGTCATCGTCAATTTCTTTCAAGAAAGTCTTGTAGTTTTCATTGTATAGATCCTTCACTTCCTTGGTTAAGTTTATCCCAAGGTATTTTATTCTTTTTGTTGCGATTGTGAATGGGATTGAGTTCTTGAGTTCTTTTTCTGTTAGTTCATTGTTAGTGTATAGAAATGCTACTGATTTATGCACGTTAATTTTATACCCTGCTACTTTGCTGTAGTTGTTGATTATTTCTAATAGTTTTTCTATGGATTCTTTGGGGTTTTCTATATATAAGATCATGTCGCCTGCAAACAGCGAGAGTTTTACTTCTTCGTTACCTATTTGGATTCCTTTTATTTCTTTTTCCTGCCGAATTGCTCTGGCCAGCACCTCCAGTACTATGTTGAATAGGAGTGGTGAAAGTGGGCACCCTTGTCTTGTTCCTGTCCTCAGAGGGATGGCTTTCAGTTTTTGTCCATTGAGTATGATGTTGGCTGTGGGTCTATCATATATGGCCTTTATTATGTTGAGGTACTTTCCTTCTATACCCATTTTACTGAGGGTTTTTATCATAAATGGGCGTTGGATCTTGTCGAATGCTTTCTCTGCATCTATTGAGATGATCATATGGTTTTTGTTTTTCATTTTGTTGATGTAGTGTATCACGTTGATTGACTTGCGGATGTTGAACCATCCCTGTGTCCCTGGTATAAATCCCACTTGATCATGGTGTATAATCTTTTTGATGTATTGCTGTATTCGGTTTGCCAAAATTTTGTTGAGGATTTTTGCATCTATGTTCATCAGTGATATCAGCCTGTAGTTCTCCTTCTTTGTGTTGTCCTTGTCAGGTTTGGGGATCAGAGTGATGTTGGCTTCATAGAATGTGTTAGGGAGTTCTCCATCTTTCTCAATTTTCTGGAACAGTTTGAGGAGAATAGGTATTAAGTCTTCTTTGAATGTTTGGTAGAATTCTCCAGACAAGCCGTCTGGTCCTGGACTCTTATTTTTGGGGAGGTTTTTTATTACCGTTTCTATTTCCTTACTTGTGATTGGCCTATTCAGATTCTCCATTTCTTCCCGATTCAGTTTGGGGAGATTGTAAGAGTCTAGGAATTTGTCCATTTCTTCCAGGTTGTTCAATTTGTTGGCATATAGTTTTTCATAGTATTCTCTTATGATCTCTTGTATTTCATTGGTATCTGTTGTGATTTCTCCTCTGTCATTCCTAATTTTATTAATTTGCGATTTCTCTCTTCTTTTCTTGGTGAGTCTGGCTAGGGGTTTGTCAATTTTGTTAATTCTTTCGAAGAACCAACTCTTTGTTTCATTGATCCTTTCTATTGTCTTTTTTGTTTCAATATCGTTTATTTCTGCTCTTATTTTTATTATTTCCCTCCTTCTACTGACTCTGGGCTTTGTTTGTTCTTCTTTTTCTAGTTCTGTTAGGTGTCGTTTGAGGTTGCTTATGTGAGCTTTTTCTTGTTTAGTGAGGTGAGCCTGTATTGCGATGAATTTCCCTCTTAGGACTGCTTTTGCTGCATCCCAAATGATTTGGTATGTCGTGTTCTCATTTTCATTAGTCTCCAGATAAAATTTGATTTTTTCTTTAATTTCTTCAATGATCCATTGTTTGTTGAGAAGCGTGTTGTTTAGTCTCCACATTTTTGCACCTTTCTCTGCTTTTTTCTTGTAGTTGATTTCTAGTTTAATAGCATTATGATCAGAAAATATGCTTGATATTATTTCAACTCTCTTGTATTTATTGATGTTTGCTTTGGTTCCCAAAATATGGTCAATCCTTGAGAATGTTCCATGTGCACTTGAGAAGAATGTGTAACCTGCTGTTTTTGGATGAAGTGTTCTATATATATGTATTAAGTCCATCTGGTCTAATTTTTCATTTAATTCTATTATTTCCTTGTTGATTTTCTGTCTGGATGTTCTGTCCATTGGTGTTAATGGTGTGTTGAGGTCCCCTACTATTATTGTATTGTTGTTGATGTTTCTTTGAGTTCTATTAAGAGTTGCTTTACAAATTTTGGTGCTCCTGTGTTGGGTGCGTATATATTTATAAGTGTTATGTCTTCTTGGTGGAGAGTCCCTTTTATCATTATATACTGTCCCTCTTTATCTTTCTTTATCTGTTTTGCTTGGAAATCTACCTTGTCTGATATTAGTATAGCGACACCTGCTTTCTTTTGTTCATTATTAGCTTGGAGTATTGTTCTCCATCCCTTCACTCTGAGTCTGTGTTTGTCTTTGGGGCTGAGGTGTGTTTCCTGGAGGCAGCATATTGTTGGATCTTGTTCTTTGATCCATCCTGCCACTCTGTGTCTTTTGATTGGGGAGTTCAATCCATTTACATTTAGAGTGATTATTGAGATGTGGGGGCCTACCACTACCATTTTGTGTCTTGTTTTCCGGTTTTCTTCAATTTCCTTTGTTTCTCGTCCCATGGTTTAATCTGTTCTGATGTAGAGCTGCTACTCTCTGTTGTTGTCCTTCTAC